ATTAAATGAAATTTTAAAAAATTAATAATTAAATTTAAACACACTAAATAAAATATTATATCTATTAAAATTAAATTAAAAAATAAAAAATTACAATAAATATACCCTTAACATATATCTTAAAAAACACAAGTCACAAAAACACATATAAAAAAAAACTCTTCCTTGGTTACTAAATATGAATATCATGTATTTATAGCGTTTTTATTTTGAACAAATTTTTTACCTTAATGTATGTTTTTCATAGCACAAATTTAGCCAAAATGTAGTTTTTTTTTTTTGTAATAAAAATAAAAGTCAATCATGCGAGATTATTTGGGCTTTATTTAGGGTACATTTAATAGCATTGTCATTGTCGTTTTTTTGTTTATATTATCAAATTTTGAATGATTAAATTGAAAAATAAAAGCTTAAATTAAAAAAATTAACTTGTTAAGTACAAATTTTTAAAATTGATAACTAAAATAAAAAATTTTTAAGTTATTGATTTATTTTATTTTATTTTAGTATACTTAAATTTTATTTTTTACAATAAAATCACAACTACAATATTATCAAATAGGGCCTTAGGATCTTTTTGTTCCAATTTTTTTTCGAACTAGTTGTTTCAAACTTTTTTATTTTAATTTTTTTGACAATGATATTAGGTCCTCCATCTATCCCAAAATAATTTTTATTTTTTGACTTTATTCATGTATTTGTAAGCATTTTGAGTTAATTTATATATTTACCTTTATTATTTTAAAAAAAATTCAATAATAAGGTGAATAATTAAAGTTAAGGGATAACTATTGGTTTAAAGTAGAAAAAATATATGTTTCTTCTAATTTTTTAAGTTAAAAAGACAATTAATAAGGGACAATTTTTAAATAAAAAATAATTATTTTAAGACAAATGGTGTAATTAATTTGTAGTTATCTAAAAGACTGAATTTTTCTATTTATATATATATAATTTAAGAACAAAAAGTTTAAACTATATTCATTCTTTTTCAAAATAATTGTTATTTTTTAATTTAAAATTTGTTATTAATTAATATTTTTTTATTTTTTAAGATAGACAAATATATTTTTCTACTTTAATTTTATTATTATCCTTAACTTTAATTATCCACTCTATTATCAATTTTTTCTTGTTTTTCTGTATTAAGGTTAATATTGATAAAAACATACTCTAAAATGTTAATTATAGCAAAAAAAGGTAAAAAAATTTATTTTAAGACTTGGGGGGTATATGAAAAGAACAGTATATATGTAGAGTTAATTTTAGAAGTTTTGATAAATTATATTTTTTTAACAAAGGGGACAAATGGGATTGGGAAAATACAAAGAAAAATCAACAGGGTTCTTCTATTTTAGTTTTAACATTTACCAACCATTGTTTAACGTTCTTACTGAATACAAAACAAGTTTAAAACCTATGTAAATTATATCTTTAAACCTAAATCTTTTATTACAAACGTGAGAGTGTACTTCATACTTCATAGGAAAAATTAAAAGCGTGAGGTTGAAATTTGTAAATAATTAAAAGAAGAATATCAAACATGAATTTTTTGGTTGGGGGGAGAATTATGGAAAAGATTGTTTGACACTTATTTTAAGACATTGAAATGGTATGAGCTCAGCCGTTAGGTAGAGGAAGATTTGTGTTCAGAGTATATCCAAGTGGGGTTGGATTGGTGTTCAACTTTCTGATTGAAACGAGTCAAATGTCATATTCTTTGACTTGGTATTTCTAATAGGGTAGGACCGTAGTAATGTATATAGGAACATTTTTAATCATAAAAGCCTTGAATTTATTAATTAGTCATTCGATTTTTTTTTTGGTTTCTCGTCCGGTATCTGAGGTTTCGTCTCGATTAATCCGGATCCGACCCGCGTCGCATACCTGAAAATGGTGTGTGAGTTTCCCAACGATGGTTGCTGCTTTCACAAGATTTCAAACTCGAGACCTTATTTAAGTTGGAACAAGCCGCTTACCACTTAATCCAACCTATCCTTGATCATTCGATTTAACTTTAGTAAGTTTATATTTTTAAATAAAATAAAAATATACTAGTAATTAATTGACAAAATTTCATATTTATGTTTAATTAATTACTCTTACTATTTAAATAAGTATTTTATTAAATATGTTATAATTTTTTTTAAATAATAATGGAATAAAAATAAATTATACTCATTAAACAACATCCTTAAAAAAAGTAAACAAATAGTAAATTTAAATATTCTAAATTAAAAATTAAGTTTACTAAAATTAAAAATTGAAAGGAGTAAATTATTATTGTAGAACATGCCAAACACAAAAAAAAAAAAAAAAAAAAAAAAAAAAAAAAAAAAGGAAAAAAAGAGAGAGATTGCTTCAAACTTAAAGCCATGTTAGCATTTGGGCCATGAAGAACAACAATACCAAGCTTTGGATCTAGGTGAAGCAGCCCGGCAACAATCCAGTAGCATTCCAGCAATTCGGTAACAGTCCAACACCAG